GACACAGCCTGGAGCTTGGGGCAGGGAGGGAGGTGTAGAGATAACTGGGGTGCTATAGCCAAAATAAAAATCTTTCCCCTGGGAACCAAGGACGTTGCCACAACCAATGAGTAGACTGTGTGCTGATTGGACCATGTGACTAATGACTCTGGGAGGAGATGTTTTTTACTTTTAATTGGGTGTAAAACTGATGGGAGAGCCAGTTTTCTACCAAGTCTGTGCCAATATGACATGTCCCAATAAAATATTATTTGAGGAATATGCCTGCTTCACAGTTCTCTTTGTTGGGGATGTATTACTTGGAACCCTGACACTAGAACTTACAATCATTCATTTAGTGACCGAAGTTTCAGTGGCACCCAAAATAGCATGAACTTACAACCATCGCAATGTCTCTGCAGTCATATGATCAAAATTCTGGCTCTTGGCACCTGGCTTGTACTTATGACATTTGCAGCTTCGCGGGGTCATATGATTGCCATTTGCGACCTTCACAGCTGGCTTCTGATGAGCAAAGTCAATAGGGGAAGTCAAATTTGCTCAATGACTGTGTGATTCACTTAATAATTGCAGTGATTTGTGTAACAATCGTGGCCAAAATAAAAAAGGTTTTAAAATTGCGCATGACTCATTTAACAACAGGTCCCAATTGTGGTTATAAGCCAATGACTACTTGTATTCTTCTATTTATAAATAATTCAATAAATTATGATTAGGTTAATCATGAGTTAAGGTATTATATAGTGTATGAGCAACCTGTTATTCTGGAGTCAGGTGGCATTGAGCTTATAAAATAAATAAATCTCTTTTTCAGAAGGGGAAAAAACTAAAGCTGTGAAGTAGAGAACGCTAGCCTTTACCAGGTTCAATCAAAACCAGGCTGAGGGAAGCATGTGGTTACAGGCTGTCCATCTCACTTGGAAAGAGGTTGCAATTCAGTGTTTCTGCTTTGCAGGTAGAAAATTCTAATCCCTGGTCAGTGGAATTGTGAAAAACTCTTATCTTGGACAGTTGTTAATGGAAAACACATTAGACCAATAATGAACTAGATAGATTAATGTCTAGATTCTATTTCAAGTGTTTCTTATGAGATTTATATGTTTAGAATTCATACTGTATAGGAACACAACTTCTGCATATATGCACAAAATACTGAGATTCTCTGAATCTTGAGGAATATTCTCATGTAAGAAACAGGAATAACTTGGGGGCATATGAGCAGGGAAATTATTATGAGCAGGGGAATTATTACTGGAGCCTTATGTGGGCCACGCTATGAAGAAATTTGAATGAGACAGGTGCTAGGAAAAGAGGTTCCTACTGAAAAAACTTGTTACTGATTCTTTCTGAAAATACTTGCTCAAGGGGAGTTTCTCCCACAGGGTATATATAAGTAAACTTTTCTAACAAGATTTTTGTTCTTGAAGTTGTTTTCAGAACGAAGGTCTCTGCGGAGAGTACTCCTGGAATGCCAGAACAACTTCCCAAAGAGATATTTTTTATGGGGAATTTCTACACAGGGAGTTTTAGCATTTTCAGTGAAGGAACCAAATGGCAACTCTTAAAAATAGGTTACCGTCGAAGGCTTATGTCTCAGACACTCTGGTTCAAATATCCTCTCATCCTCCAAAACTTTTCACTAACTTTGGATCTCTCTCTCTCTCTCTAACTGACTAGACAAGGTGGTATTTTGGAGAAGGATTATATTATTATTCCTATTATATAGGGAAATGACCGTCATCTGAACTCTAGAGAGAAAAGCAGACTACGAAACTAATGCATATAAGTGCATATGGATATAAACAGGTAGTTCTTGACTTACAACCACAATTGAGCCCAATTTTGTTGTTGTTAAGTGAGACATTTGTTAAGTGAATTTTGTCCCATTTTATGACCTTTTTAGCTGCAGTTGTTAAGTGAATCACTGCAGTTGATGGTTGTTCAGTGAATCTGGCTTCCCCATTAATTTTGCTTGTCAGAAAGTCGCCCAAGTCCCCTAGGAAATAGCAACGGTCATAAATATGAACCAGTTGCCAAGCATCTGAGTTTTGATCACGTGACCATGGGGATGCTGCAGTGGACGTAACTGGGGAAAACGGTCATAAGTCACATTTTTCAGTGCCCTTGTAACTTTGAATCGTCACTAAATGAACTGCTGTAAGTCGAGGACTACCTGTAGTTATGCGTGCGTGCGTGCACGCATATACACACACGTGTATATCACATACACGTGTTATCTACGTGATGCGTGTCAAACATGCACACGACTATAGTATACGGTAGAGTGGCAATGTATAGCGAGAGCTTGGAGTGGAAAGTCCAAGCCACTCCTCCGCCTCCGCTTTACCTTCCTCTGGAGCTCCCAGGCTCCCACGCAGGCCTTGCCGAGCTGCGCCCCGAGAAGATGCTCCCCGCCTAGCAGCGTCAGCCCACGAGGGGCGCAGCAGCCCCCGCGGTAGCCGGCTACCGATGCCCCAGAGCCCACTTCCCACACCGAGCAGCAGCCGCTACCCGACGAGCTCGAAGAGGAGCCGCCGCTACCGGGTCCCAGAGAGGTCTCGCCCGCCGCCGCCACCACCGCCACTTCCACGGGGCCGCCGAAACCCCCGCCGGCGACCGCCATCTTGCCGGACCTCGCCGACACACCCCCTCCTCCTCAATGGTGCGCAGGCGCAGCAGGAAGTCGCGGCCTCGAGGAGGCAAGTTGTTAAACATAGAGATGAAAATGCTACACCAAAACTTCCGCCCTTGAGAATCGTAGATCTAGCTAAGAATAAGCTTTCCTGTCAGATTGGGAAAGACTGTGGCAGTAAAAATTTATATACGATAACAAATATTGGGTGTTATAAACTCTTGAAGACTGGAAAGATAGAAATGGTAAACTCATACAGCATAATATTTTCCTTTTCTGCTGTATTCATGTACATTCAATAGTGAAACAGAACACTGCAACTATGTTATAATACAAGGGTCTTCAAACTTGGCAAGTTTAAGACTTGTTGGCTTCAACTCCCAGAATTCCTGAGCTAACATGACTGGAAGAGGAATTTAGGGGTCGTGCATAAGTGCAGGGACGGTAGGTCCCTGTCCTATTGTTTCTTTTATATATTTTTTAATTTTATTTTTCTTATATGTATCCATGTATTCATAACTATGTTTTTACTTATACTATTATCTTGTAAGCAATTGACGAAAAAAAGTCCACAAGTCTTAAAGCTGTCAAGTTTGAAGACCTCTGATATAATACATAGTATTTCTCAACCTTGCCAACTTTAAAGATGAGGGGTCTTCAACTCCCCACATTCCACAATCAGCCAGGCTGGCTGGAGAATGCTGGGAGTTGAAGTCCACAAGTCTTAAAGTTGCCATGGTTGCGAAACTGGTAATAAATTGTGTGGCTGTCATATCAATATATTCAGAAACACTGACTTTTTTAGTGGTGGGCACCCTGAAAGCTGAAAAATTAGAATGTCCGAGTCAAAGTATTTTACATTTGTTTGTAACTTTTTGTTTGAAGTGTAGTTTTCCTAAAACAGCGGTTTCCAACCTTGGCAACTTTAAGCCTGGTGGACTTCAACTCCCAGAATTCCCCAACTATATACAAGGGTCTTCAAACTTGGCAAGTTTTAAGACTTGTTGGCTTCAACTCCCAGCATTCCCCAGCCAGCAAGTTTTAAGACTTGTTGGCTTCAACTCCAACTGGGGAATTCTGGGAATTGAAGTCCACCAGGCTTAAAGTTGCCAAGATTGGAGACTCCTGTCCTAAAATATACAGAGGTCAAGCATTTTATCTAATTGTACTAAATAGGACAACATAGGCATTCACACTCAATAATATTAATAAAATGGCAGAAGGGAATGTAAAAACATTACTTTTCTTGATCACCGCAAGGGCACTGCCACAATTTTTACAGTGTAGAATTAAATCATATATAAGTCTCTCTCTCACACACACATAATACTTCTTAGTGTTACATATCCTAGGGATGAGGGATGATAAGCTTTATCTTCCAGCCTGAGTTGAAATTAAGGTGGGCATCTAAACCACCCAACTATCTTATCTGATACAAATAAAGAGGATTACATGGCAAGTTTCTGTGGTGCATTCTGTCAGCAATATGCAACAATCTGGTAAGGGCATTAGTGTCATTAATTACTCCAGTCTGCTTTTAAAAGCAACAAATTCAGTTTGCTTCACAGGCAACCTAAATTAAAAGCTGACCCTTCCTCCAGCCCTTTTATAACTTGCTATCAGAAAATTTTGTTTATTGGACAGTTTTAAAAATGTCAAAAACAACTCCATTTACTATCCAGCAAGTGAGCTCTCAGGTAATTTGTTTATTGGTTATTATCTTATTAACCTCTGTAAACTTACAGCAGTACAAAAATATTTTTTTTTCCTTTGAATTAGAACACATTTCACAAGATTACATTAGAGGAAAGAGGCCAGTTCACCCCATCCTCCAAGCAACACATCTAGTTTTGCTAAGTTCCAGCATAGGGAACTATCAAAAACCAAACAAAAACATTCATTGGCATTACAGTAACTGAAAGTGTGTTAAGAAGGGGTGAGATGTTTAAACACACAGGAAAATTATTGGAATATTAAATATGACAGGTAACAGTGAGTGTGGCTGACAAACTTAAGAAAATAGCACAAGGCAAGTGCAATGCAGCATATGGCCCTCATCTTTTTATAAGGTGCATCATTAGATGACAGAGGGTGTACAAAGTCAGCTTTGTTTTTAGGGGGAGTTTTAGGAATGGGGAATACCGAACACTTTGACCACTTTTGACTTATCAGGTCTACAACCAAAGATGAGCAATAGCTCAAGAGGACGGTGGTAGCAGCAATTACTGAGGCACAATCCCCTGGAAATCTCACCCATGCCAGTCCCTCTGAAGTGAATAGAGATTGTGACTTGCTTTAAACCCCATCCCACCAAGAAGATTCTAATCCCGATCATCTGTATTCTGCATATAGAGGCCAATGGGAAGACTCAGCAATGGGGTTTTATGCCTAACAAAGAAAGGGGAAAACACAGGAATTTGTATTCTTGAAGGCATCCTTGCCTTTTTTGAGTAAATTGTAGCTGGCTATTAACATAGCATTTCCTATGGACACCAAACATTTTGGATGTTTGTTGCATAATTAATGGGGGTCAGGAATTGCAAGATGTTCAGCTCAATCTGCTGTTCTCTGTAAAAGTTGGGCTGCAAGGCCTTTACTGAGAAAGCCTCCCAAAACTAATCAGTCCGTCCAAGAGAAGGGAGTGGTTGGGCTGAAGCTTGCAAATATGCAACCGCTTATCTGCCGCCACTCCTGATTTGCTGCCTTGCCAACTGTGCACTGCCTAAACCAGGTGTCTCCAACCTT